ATGCTGTTGATGTACTTCTCACCGGTTTCGGGGCAAGCTTCACCGTTTACCAGCTTGACGAGCTCTCAAACGGGCTCGCCCTAGAGCAGCAGCTCATGCAGGTCTGCCCCGCCCCAGGAACATCATGGGGCGGCAGCGGGATAGGAAAGCCATACTTGCCGGCAGTGTTCATAGGGGGTAACTATGTTGGGGGACAAAATGAGGTCTTGTGCCTCCATCTCAAGGGAGAACTTGTCCCCTTGCTCAAGAAGGCTGGAGCCATTTGGCTCTAATTTTGGTTAAATATTAACCAAAATAGTGGTTGCCAATCTCTATACGTATTTAAATATAGAGATGGATCACTACATAAATTAAATACGGAGTACATAATACCGTATCATTAAGGAAATTGCAATTATATTGCTAATTTGGCTAGCTACTAGGGTTAATTAAACTTCTTTTTATAGTTTTATCAGCTGCATGTATGCATGCTTGCTAGCTTGAACAAATTAGTAAATGCGGCCTGTATATTGCAAATACTGCAATATAATGTGAGCTAGCTGCTATAGATTTTCATAATAAATTAAATCATACTCCGTATGTATTTATGTCATAATAATATATCTAATGGATATCATGGAGTCAGACTTTTCGTTCTTTTGGCGTGTAATTATTGGTACATTTACATTTCTGTTCAATTTGTTGAAGTATATGAAGGGTTCAAGTAATTAAGAACCCCTACTGCTATATGATTACATTTTTACCCAATATGGGAAGAGATTATAATGGTAAGATAATAATGGTGGTCCTTAAAACTAGAATTATTTTTAAAGTGAAAACTTTTAATCATGATCAGTCATTTTTATAATCCATAATTAATATTGACAAGGTTACATTTTTATAATCATTAAGGATTAGAGGAAATTAAAATCCATTAAAATTTAGGATACTTATAATTTATAAATAATGTTAACCAACAACTACAATTAATGAAAAATTGAAATTAAAAGTTCTTTTTAGATTCCTTCGGTTGGACTACAAGAAAAGTCAATGATTACTTGTTTAAGAGGGAGTGTTAGTTAAAGAAGGCCAGGTGTTCCATTATTCCTTTATACTCCACTCCATCACGTGAGTAACTCGGCAATAATCATAACAAAATAATTTTTTAACAATTGACTAATTGAGCATGTCAATTGAATTGCACGGGTACGTGCCAGAGGACGCTCCTAAATCCTAAAATTGAGGATTTTATGGTACTTTTAGACACCATATCTTGGAAATATTTAAATGTGAATAAAAATAATATAACGCTGGTCTTCTCTAAAATGAAACATTGAGTCTTAATCTGGAGAGTATCGCTATGATGGAGTCAAGCCTAGTGTAAGTATGTAACATAACTTTTTTTTTTCAATTTTTTTTGGTGTAAATGTTACTCCTATCATTTTTCATATTCACCCTACCCCGCTAATATTAAAGTTTAGTATAATTGCTTCTCAGTCCAGGATATTTTAAAATCTTGGATCCGCCCCTGTCTTAATACTATCTCCGTCCCGGTGGACTTTGCCAAGTGCATAGTAGGTGAGAAATAAGAATAGTAAAAATTGAGTGGTTGAGATTTGTGCAAAGGAGAGAAAAATGTGTAGAACATCAAATTAGTTGCTTTAATAAGAAAATGACAAAGTTTTTTTAGACAATAAAAAAGGAAAATTTGGCAAAGTCAAATGGGACGGAGAGAATATAATATTAGTTCCCATTAAATTTAAGTTGTGATTGATCCAATTAAAACTCAATAATGAGTTTACAGACTTTGAAAATTATTTACTCCCCTGAGCTTACATCTTTGAAAGCATGTTTCATGTGTGAAGACAAAAACCAATAAACAAACGTCTGCTTCGTAATATCATTTTCAGCTTATTTAGCTTTATAGGTCAAATCACGATTTTTTTTATTTTACATAATAATCAAAATAAGTAAGGTTGAAGATACTAGAAGAACATTTTAACTACTTCATATTTTTTAATATTACATCTCTTTAATCTATTTATATAATACTCCCTCCGTTCCAGGGAGAAGTTCCCGGGTTGACTTTCACACATATTAAGAAAATAAAGTTACTGGCGGGTAAATTTTACTGTTTGGCACTGTTTCGACACTGTTTGGCACTGTTTCGACACTGTTTTGCACTGTTTTGCACTGTTTTGATGTAGAATAACTTTCCATTTAGGGAAATGGGAACTTCTTGTTGGGACTGCCAAAAAAGGAAATTGGGAACTTGTCCCTGGGACGGAGGTAGTATATTTTAAATATAGTTTTTTCATAATTCAGTCGATTCAGCCATTTCGCTTAGCATTTCATCCGTTTCAGCAAAAAATTAATTTCAGATGATTCAACCAATTTCATTGTTTCCCAACCAGGCCAAAATCTTAGAGTACTATGTTATTTCAATTTAGATTATTATTTTGTTAAATGGGATTTTTAAAATTGAATAATTTTGGATTTGGGGGAGCTGATGGTAGTCAATTAACGAGACTCGCGTAAACCCATAAAAAATGCTTGAGCTACACAAAATGTGTACTCATGTCTGTCTACACAAAATGTGTACCTCTAGCAAAAGGTACATTTTGTGTAACGAAACTTATCTCTTTCAAGTATTTAGGATGAGTTCTTGAGAATTCAGTATCACTCCGGTGAAATCGAGATTACTCCGTCGAAACAAGAATTAATCACCAGATCTATGTAGTATTGATTTTGAATAAAGAGTTATCAGTCCAGTCCATTCTACTGCAGACTAGTACAGAGACATTGAAGAGTATCGCTTTTACGATGTTAGATTAGGAGCCCGTTCGCTAATACCTAAATTGATTGTATTGGTTGATTCTGTTGAAATTTATGAAGTTCTGCCTGAAGTGGTAGTATAGGCCGATTCTGTTGAATTTCCAAAAATAATATTTAAAATATATTTTATTAATAAAATATAGAAAAAATTAATATGAAAATAGCTAAAATGATCATCTACAGTAACTTCAGGCAATACATCCAAAAAGTAAATACAACCTTACATGTTCTTATTATTACGCAATCAATAATTACATGTTTGGTAAAAAAGTTTGAGACTTTCGTCCTTTTGCTCATTCTACTTGTCAATGGGTCTCCTAAAACTCGGTTCTTCTTTTAGGGGCTGTTTACTTTCGACTTAATGGTCTGAATGTAAACAATGACTTATTCGGTCAGCCATACACTCTTGTTTACTTGGGACTTATTTTAAAACATGACTTATTCGCGCAGACCATTTTTGACTTAATAGTTCAGCGGAAATTCAACACTCCTTACGATTCAGACATTAATATGTATCGCCTTTCTCTTTTTTAACCCGCATTCCCTTCGCTAACCCTCTTCTTCGCTAACCAGTGCTACGGCCGCCAATTGAAGAGCTGCGCACAGTCCTTCGCCGGTCACAGCAACGTGCAGATTTCATCTCCATCTCCGGCTCTCATCCCTCACCTTCTCCATATCGGTATTTCCTTGAATTTTTCTCTTTAGTATTTTCTCTCTGTTTTGTTTTCAATATCTCCTAATAAGAGTTCTTCCTTGTTCTCTATCATACTTTTCTCTACTTGTTCTGTAAGTCTCGAATTTTTGGAGTAAATTCACTACATTTTTGTATTTAGGTCAATCTTTTGTAATTGAATTTCATATGCCATATTGTTAAATTTCATGTTTGATGTTGGATGGTTTGATATTAGGGATTTTATAACTCAAACTCTGTTTTTGGGATGAAATAACTCAAACTCTGTTAAAATTAAGATAGATGTGAATTAAGTGATGTGAAATCAAGATACGTGAATTAAGATTAGAATTAGAATTTGAACATAGATGTGAATTAAGATATAGTATTCCATGTAATTGCTATGTAAATGCTATAGTGTTAAAATTAGAATTTGAACATAGATGTGAATTGAGATACATGAAATCAATTTAACTTAGAATCTGATTTTTTTGTTTGGGTTTGTTGCAAATCTGATGCCGTAATACGATAGTCATGAAACTATTTTGGTAAACTATTATAGTGTTAAAACCCATGACATTTGGTAAATTTAGTATTCCCTTGTTTTTGCTTTAAGCTTACCATAGGATGTTTCTCTTTTGGGCTCTTTACCTCTTCTGAGCTGCTGTTTTGTTTCATACTATGTGAATTGAGATTAAACTCTGATTTTCTTTAAATGATTACTTTGAATTCATTATCTTTTACATGTGCTTCCCTGCCCTTTCACTATTATATATAAAACTCAATTGTGATGAACTCATGATAATGGCCCATAAAGTTTCATCACTTGTAATATGTTCTACTCTTGTAAATGGTTCTGTTATAAGAATATGTTCTGATGGTAATGGCCATGTTTAATTGCATCCTCCCACTTTAAAATGTCTTTTCTACATTATCTAAATTTTTTTCACAATGAAGTTCTATAGTGTTGAAGAGACAATTACGTTATCAGAATGGTACAAGCAACTGGAACCCCTTTTTTTGCAAAATATGAACTAAAACGATATCATCTTAATTAACATTAAGTGGAGAAGTTTTCTGCTTAACAACTAATTCGTATAAGGTTAATATTATTTATGGTTTGGTCTTCAAAAAGAAGTAACAAAAGTTTAACACATAGAAGATGATAACTCCATTTTTTGACAGCTTGTGAAGTTTTTTTGTGTGTTATTTTGTATGCAATATGTAGGCAGATTTTTCTTACGTAAGTAGACTGATTTTTTTGCACTTGTTTATCGGATATGTTAACCATCTATTAGCACTCTATGAATCATTGGGACACACGTATTTCATTCTTTAGGTATGGAACACGCCGGTGAATCAGAAAAGCAAAAAAAATGTAGGATAAGTTGGAAAAATATGAACGTGGTGAAAACATTTCTTGAGACCTGTATCCATGAGATTTCTGTAAACGGGCGGGAAGGTAGTAGTCTGAAAGCACTTTCTTGGAAGAAAGTGGCTGACGTTTTGAATGGGACTCATAAGTTTTCTGTTGATCGAAAGCAAATGAAAAATCATTACGATTATCTTAAAGGAAAATATGGAGCCTGGTTACTGCTCAAAAATAAAACAGGCAATGTGTATGATCCGTCCACCAACACATTTAATCTTACGCCCGAGGAATGGGAGATTGAAATTAAGGTAATTTTTGCCTAAAGGGCGCCTCTATTTATTTTGTTGTTAATTTCTTTCCTATACAGCTATACTTTACATTTTTTTAACACAGAAAAATAAGTACATTGAAACTTTGAGGACTACATCGCTTCCATTCCCGGAACTTTGTGCACAACTATTTGATGGGTCTGTTGCAACGGGCGTTGAGAGTTGGGGACCAACTTCAGTCGAACCTATGCCACATGGACATACTTCATCTGATGGTCCAATTGTGGTTGAAGAAGAAGTGGAGTTTCAAGGTGCGCATACTATGTCTACGTCAACAGGTCAATGTTCAAGCCATAAGCAATCAAAAAAACTCAAAAGCAATGGCAAACAAGCAAATTCAGCCATTGATGAAGAGTTTTTGAATGTGATTCACTTAGTTGCTTCAAAACATGCGAAGCCCGAAGCACCTTTGAAACCTGAACCACCAACTTTTGATGATTGCATGAACAAACTAAAAATGCTTGGATGGGAAGAAGATGACCCACTCTACGGAGTTGCGCTCGCTATCTTTTGTGATCCAAATGATCTTTATCGCGAAGCATGGATGAAAATTGGTGCGGAACTCCTTCCAAATTGGGTCAAAATGATTGGAAAAAAATTAGGATTTATGTAGGTTGTTAGTTTCTCTTGTGTTTATTTGAACGTATTCAGGACTACATTTGTTATTTATGACTGTTGTTTGTATTTTTATGGGATGACTATTGTATGTTTTTGTGATACTTGCTCGATTTTGTGACATCTAAGAATGTAATGTTTATTTATAAATATCTAATTTGTACTATTTTGCAAGGTAAATATGGATCTTGAGGCGCAACTTCTAATCCTAATGCTTGTGTATTATTATGTGATATGCTTGTGTATTATTATGTGAGGCGAAGAAATTCTACTCTAAGAATGCCGAGAATAAGAGATAATACTTCTGCATTAACTGGACATGCTTACACACAAGAGTTACTAGATGGTTCTAATACACAATGTGTGGAATTAATGCGTGTCTCTCATGCCGGATATGTACTATTATGCAACCATTTTAGACAAAGAAATTGGTTGAGAGATAGTAAGCATGTAAGTGTTGAGGAAAAGATGGCTATATTTTTGACAACCATCGGAAATAATCAGAGGTTTAGAGTGAATAAAAGGAGATTCCAACACTCTACACGAACCGTTCACATTTGTTTTCATGAAGTTCTACAAGGAATGATGGAATTTGCAAAAGAAATGATAGTACCAACAACGCTTGATTCAGTCCTAAATTTATCAAACCGGCAAAAACGTTTGAGAGAGGTTTTTCCGGTATGTTCTCATTTTACATTTGATTCATATATAGTTATATTTAAAAAATTATGTATTAAATAATTTCATTATGTTATGAAGGGAGCGATTGGAGCACTAGATGGAACTCTTGTACACGCAATTGTGCCCGCTTAAAAGCAAACTATTTATAGAGGAAGAGGAGGGGGTCGATGTTATCAAAACGTTTTAGGAATTTGTGATTTCAATATGATATTCACTTTTGTTTGGGCTGGTTGGGAAGGAATAGCACATGATTCTCGAGTACTAACGCAAGTTGTGTTTAATCCTAATTCCGGCTTTCCACTTCCCCCACAAGGTGCGTATCATTATTATTTATTCTTTCACTAAATGATTTTAATTAAAGTTAAAAAAATTAACAATGGAATTTCTTACAGATAAATATTATCTATGTGATGCTGCATATGCAAACACTCGTGGATTTTTAGCTCCATATCGTAACACAAGGTATTGGTTAGTAGATTATCGACGTCGTCGTGCATTGACTAAAGAAGAAAGATTCAATCATGCGCATGCACAACTCCGGAATGTGATTGAACGTACGTATGGTGTCTTGAAATCAAGGTTCCCAATCTTAGATCAGATGGCTCCTTATCCATTTGCGATACAAAGGAATGTGGTGATTGCTTGTTTTGCGGTTCATAATTTTATTAGAAAATCCAACATTGATGATGACTTTTTCAAAGAATGGGAAGATGACACTATAATCAACAATGAAGCACAAGAGGAACCTGAGGATGTTGGAGAAGAAGTGCACGCAGCACAATGGGGCACACACAGTTTACAGTATATGACGAATTTGCGGAATGAAATCGCTAATAGACTAGTAGGAAACGTTTAAATTTAAAGTGTTGTTCTCGTTAAGACAAATGACTTTTTCTTATCATGTAATGCGATTTTTATTTTATTTTAATAATTCGTAGCATTATTATTCTTGGACATCTAGAATTATGTTTCAAAACAGAGCAAGTAAATAGACAATATACATTCAGCACTTGTTCCTGACAGAAGGGTTATTTGGTCATTTAACGTGATTCAGAGTTCTCATTCAGCACACTTAGTAAACAGTTTGTTATCCCACTATCACTTAATCCAGACAGACAACTTAATGCAGACAGACATCTTAATCCATTCAGGACTTAATGAAAAAAAAAGTAAACAGCCCCTTAGTTTTTCTTTGAAAATGTTCTTTAAGTATTGTACGCTTGTAGCTCATTTTTCTTTTGATTTACGAGGCATGCTCTTATAGTTACCAATATACTGTAATGAAATTTGGGAAAAGTAATAACAGAAATACTAGGGTACATAAGTTATTAAGTTGTACACAACTTGTTAACAAAATGTCGGTCACAAACAATTCGTATAGAGTTTTCTGTGTACACGGACAAGTTTTGTCAGTATCTAAAGCCACTATCTTGCAAAACAAATTATATTTGTGCAATGTCTGTGGGCATAGACAATAGTCTTGTGGGTCACAAACAATAGTTGTCTATGTGACAACTTTAGTTGTCGGCGTAATCAATTTTAATTGTATGGGTGAAAATAGTAATTGTCTATATAAATCAAAATGAATGATGTACAGAGTAATTGTATGTGTGATCAATTTATATGTAATTTAAAAAAATAGAAAAATATTAAAAATAGATGAAATAAGATGAATACATGATTGAATCTGTAAATTCTGCCTGAATGTTTTCTTGTATGTGTTATAGATTTTAGTATAATGGCAGCTCTTTTATGATACAAAAAACTGATTTTGTGCAAATAATGGAAAATTTTGTTATAAAAAGATAGAGAAAAAGAGGATGAAGAAGAGGAGATGATTTATCTCATTTTTTTTAGAATTTGCGAAGAGATTCTAATATAAAAGCTTATAAGTATCAATGATGGTTAGAGTATTTTAGGAATGATAAAAATGTTGGTGTAACACTAAAGCTATATGCACTTGTATAATTTGTTTTAGTTAATGTACCATTTATTATAATCTCTATGTCTTCTACTTAACTCCGTTAAAACCAAACGGTTGAGTTTCCAACATTCGTACATGTGCTTTTGGCATTTTAATTATTGTATGCACTTAGGTTGATTTGATTTTCCATCCAATATTTTTACTTGATTTTACTTATTAAAAGTTTCTCTACGTTACATTATGTATTGTATGTGTAAGATAAAATTTAATCTTGGGTAAGACTTAGCCTCTCCACATGTCATTTGGTTTTCACCTAAAAAAGTTTGCTAAATGTTCTATGTTAAAAAAATTATTGTTGTTGTTATATGTACGTTATTATAAATATAAAGCCATAAGTTCTTGCTAAAGTTATGAAATATTATTACATTATTAATTTCGAAGGTTAAAAAATTATTACTACCAGTTACTTCCCTCAATTTTAATTTTGTTTAAATTATTACGTTAAAAAAATTAGTGTAATTTGTTTTTAAACAAAAACCTCTATACTTGCCAAGTCGAGTATACCGCCCTAGCTATTCCTCTCTTAAGGAAAAAATATATAGAAATTGTCCAACATAGGAGTAAATATAAACAATTGCCCAAATAAGAGTAAAATTTAAAATTTCCCCGAATAGGAGTAAATATTAATTTTCTACCAATAATTAAACTATATTATTAATATAAAATTCAATTTTATGTAATTTTTTATTTTCTCCCTTCAGAATGAAACGACTAATACCAAGCAAGACTTTCCCAAGGATTGCAAACATAATTACTTCAAAACTACACTTTTTATTAATCTCTTGTGTAATAATAAGAAAACATAAGGCTGCAATTCTTTGTTAGAAGTTGTTCTATTAATTTTAGAGCATGTTTGGTGACCTTGTTTTTCGGCTTATCAGACTTATCAGACTGTTTTCACTAAACACGTAAATTTTAATTTCATGCGCTCAGTTGTGTAATAATAAGAAAAGGTAAGGCTGGAGTTGCTTTTCTGGCTGTATTGGCTGGAGTTACTATAGAGGATCATTTTCGCTAATTTTTCATATAAATTGTTCTTTATTTTTTTTATAAAATACTCCCTTCGGTATCAAATAAACTTCACACTTTAATTTTATGGTTTTTAAGAAAGTGGAATTTCTACTTTAAACTTTCCATCATACCCCTATAAAAAGTAGAATAGATGTAGTGAGAGATAGAAAATGAGTGTAAAGTACGTAATAAAGTAGATGTATAACGGTAAACTTATATTAAAAATTTACCAAAAGAAGAAATATGAAGTTTATTTTGGACCTGCCCAAAAATGAAAGTGTGAAGTTTATTTGGGACCATAGGTAATATATTATAATATAATCTTTTCTTAAATTAGAATAATCGGCCAATACATTCGATTTGGTATCACCAAACATGCTTTATTCTTATCGCTTATTGTTTAGTCTTATGTTGCTTAAATGATATCAGATCGTAAAAATTCATACCAAATAAAAAATGTACATACATTATCTACTACCATTATTATTATTGTTGTTGTTGTTGTTGTATTATTATTATTATTATTATTATTATTATTATTATTATTATTATTATTATTATTATTATTATTATTATTATTATTATTATTATTATTATTATTATTATTATTATTATTATTATTGTTGTTGTTGTTGTTGTTGTTGTTGTTGTTGTTGTTGTTGTTGTTGTTGTTGTTGTTGTTGTTGTTGTTGTTGTTGTTGTTGTTGTTGTTGTTGTTGTTGTTGTTGTTGTTGTTGTTGTTATTGTTGTTGTTATTTTTATTATTGTTATTATTTTTTTATTATTGTTATTATTATTATTATTATTATTACCAAGCAAGACTTTTTTAGGGCATGTTCTATTGAAAACTACATTTTTTTTATTAATTTCTCGTGGTCTCAAAGATTTTGCTGCATCTCTTTGTTTGAAGCCGTTCTATTGATTTTAGAGCATGTTTTGGGACCTTTTTTCGTCTTATCAGCAAACTTTTTTAATAAATACATAACTTTTGATTTTGTGCGCTCAGTTGGGCAATAATAAGAAAAT